ACTTGCGACTGTGAACCAAGATGCTAATGCATACACACATACGTATGCATATAGGCATCGCATATCTGTAGTAGGTAGAGCCTCAAGCATTCCATGTATCCTACAACTGTGTGTGCATCGGGCACAGACAGTGGAAGTCGAAGTGGCCTCCAGGAGAACCTCGACGAGAGAGAGCTGCCCCGCATCGACGGCATGGTGCAATGGCATCCAGGAGTTGTAATCTCGCACGAATGGCTCAGGGGGACGGACGAGTATGTGACATGAAATTGCGTTGGCCAAGAATGTCTTTGATGTACTATGGGCGCCCGTGAACCCTTCTGCAAATAGGAGTAGTTGGCACGAGTCATCCAGCGAACTGCGGAGCAATTTTCATCAGGGCTGCCCTTGGCGGGCCTGACTATTAATCTTTCGTGGGCTGTCAGGCAGAGGATAAGATGCCGAATTGAAGTTCAAGACCCAACGAAAGAATCCCTATCATCAGCTGTAATCCGATGCCAATGCATCTTGTTTTGGCGACCACCACGAAGTGCTTTCGCTTCCATATGAGGCCAAGGTCAGTCTTCGATAAATTGTATCTAGGACCGAAAGGTGCATATGTCAATACCCAGCTCGTCGAAGCCCCCCGTGTCAGCCCTCGACTACCAGCCCCCGCCCTGTCTGTCGATGCAAGCATCGAGTTGAAGAAGAATGTTCATCGCCTCGCCAGCTTTAGGGTTGAGAACAAGCATGATTCAGTCATGCTGGTCACGAGAAGAGCTGATTCGTACACCGCGCGGTGTGCTTGACTGTGCCCTAGTGTGCTTCGGTTGCAGGCTTGGCTTCAGCTTGGTATGTGCCTTGGTTAGATGCAGGTTTTATTGGGTTGAAGTTCATCTAGTTGAAAGAAGTAGTTGAGTTGCCATCTACCTTTTTGCACGCGGATCCACCATAACGACTTGCAAGAACGACAACTTGACCTGGAACCACTATCTGCAAGAGGTAACGTCAGCATATGTTTCAGCAAGTTCAGAACGACTCAACTGATAAACCAGAGCCGCAACGAGCCCGTACACAACTTTAACTCTGATGAAGTGCCTCGACACTGCCGCTTCTAGCCGCGCAGTGCAGGGGAGTCATCCCGTCTGACCTGCAAAAAATCGCAGGCAGCTCGTTCTGTGCTCGGCTCTTCCAGACATTCGCATTCCGAGTTCCAAGGTTTGCGCGTCGATCCGACTTCCTAAGGCAATTTCCGAACTCAGCGAGGTCTTCTTGCTCTCCGAGCAGGGTCTTCAGACCAGTCCACGCTGTCCGTCACAACAACAGCTTCCTGAACGTTTGATGTCAAATCCGAAACTTGAATAGTCACAGCTTCTGTCATGTAGACACTGAATTCCCTTTCAGCACCTGGCACCTAAGGCCTTCCCACTCTCTCCTCGGCACTTTGCGAGGAGGCCAAGCATGTAATGCTAAGATGAGCTACAATCTAGCAACGAGAAGGCATCGACATTCTCAGTGGTGCTGCTAAGACTTTCATCGTGAACAGAAAGCCATCTGAACCCGCTCATCAAGTCAGCACACCTGGTTCGCTGTTCCGAGAAAGCCTTGAGCTCCAACCTCGGCGAGAAGCTCCAAACGACGGGGTAGGTGCCGTGATATCTCTGAGGCACCAAGTTCAAGATGCTGGACTTGTGCTGACATATCAAAGAGATTGAGAGGAAGCGCTTCCTGTCCGCCTGTCATGCGTGCTTATGCTTTGGGACTTTGTTCAGTAAGTTGAAGGCGGCATAGGCCACGCTGGTGGCCAGGCATTTCGAGCATGCTGCAAGTATGAAGCTGGAACCCACCAGAACGACCTACTTAGTGGCTGCAGTGCTTTGATGTGCTTTGGATACGGTTTTCCATGCCATGTGCCAACATGTGGTTCGCACATTGAGCAAAGCAGGAGCATGTGCAGAAACCACAAACCAATTCCGGCCGATTCCCTCCGCCTCGAGTAAGGATGCAGACCCGAGCATGAAGTCTGCAGTCCTAATCATGAGAATAGCAACGCCACCCCACAACGTCCTGAACCATAATTCAATGAAACCTTGGCGAGTGCACCGGCTTCTTCTGTCAGGCTAGAAACTTTCAGGTCCAACCACACATCCGATTGAACGCCACGTCTTACTATGCAACTTTGGAGTGTCAGAGCCCCAGACACGTGCTGTGCCCCCCTTTGGGCCAACCCCTTCTCATTGGGCCCTCCGCTCCTCCGACCAATGCACTGTTTTTTCTGCGCTTGCGCTTGCGACCTGCGGACGGCTGCATTGTCTCCTTGGGAAAACGGCTTTTAGCGTAGCTGCTTGGGGCATACGGCTTGGAATGTGGAGTGTAAGCCTTAAGCAGTTTTAGCGGTACCCGAAGCAAGAGAAACGGGGTTCCGAATTCTGAATTATGCCAGTGTGCTCGGGCAAAGCTGCTATCCCCGCCATCGCTGTCCAGGCCCCAGGTTACAATCGAACCATCACCACAAAGTGCTGCAAAGGCGGATCTGGTGGCTTGTATTTGTTGCACATTCTGCAGCTGCTCTTGGACAGAGTCGCTGTTGCCGCCGAAATAACTGTCACCCCATGTCACGACAGAACCACTTAGGATAGCCGCAAACGAGTTGTTCGTCGCCTGGATCTCTTGTACATTGTTCAGCTGGCTCTGGACTGAAGAGCTGTCGCCACCAGACTCGCTGCTCCCCCACGTCACCACGGAACCGTTGTGCAGCAAAGCAGCGAATGCAGCGTAGGATGCCTGAATGTGCCGCACACCTTGGAGATGCTGCTGCACCGCAGAGTTGTCCCCGCCATAGCCTTCGTCACCCCAAGATATCGCAGACATGTCTCCCAAAACGGCTGCGAAAGCGCCTTGTGTAGCCTGGATGTGTTGCACATCGCACAACTTTGTCCGCACAAAGCTGCTGTCGCCACCGGCGTCACGGTTGCCCCACGTCACAACAGACCCATCAGCCAAGATGGCAGCAAAGGCGGCTCGTGTGGCTTGTACCCGTTGCACACCTTGCAGCTGCGGCCCGAAAAGGAATTCTTCTACGAATGAGTAATAAACCCGAAGAGGCTCCCACCGGGAGGCCCAATCCCACAACTCGCGCCTTGCAACTGCATCCGCACGTCACTGCAATCCCCACCAAAATTCGCGCTGCCCCATGCCAGGATGCTGCCATCTTGCAGAATGGCAGCAAAGGCATGGTTAGAAGAGCTGATGCTCCTTGCAGACATCTCGTCTGTGGGACTCCAGGTCTTGACCGGCGAGATGACCCCATGTCGCCAAAGATCCATCTTCAAGAAGGGCCGCAAAGGCTGTCAGAGAAGCCTGCATGTACCGAACGATAGGCCAGGTGTGTTTGTTGTTGAAATTCTGGGGTTCTGGATTGGTGGACAAGGTCTTGAAATCAAGAGTTTGAATACGATCTCGGCACAAAGGCCAAAAACATCGTGTGAACGCCTGGACTTGGCGTACCCCATGCAACTGGGACTGCCGTTGTCCACCTCTTGAAGGGTCGCCCCAAGTCACAAGGGAGCCGTTGCGTCGGACAGCTGCGAAGGCAGTAGATGTAGCTTGGAGGGACCTGAGCGAGGGTGCGGGGAACCTCATTCTCCGTAGCAAGGAAAAGTGACCACAACAGCATGTTCGGCACACGTTGGGCATGTTCGATCATGTTCGCATAGTTAGACGACCTGGGAAAAAATGGCTAGCAGGCTGAGTTGCACGACTTCATACAACTCCTCCTGCACCCAAGTAGTATCCCAGCTTCCCCAGCTCACTGCTGAGCCATCTTCAGGGCACATGAACCGTCATTTCGAGAGTTGGGGTTCGGAAACATGGGAGTCGGACTAAGACTTGTTTGCAGTCCAGGAGTGCAATTCAAGCTTCTATAGTTGACTCATTGATACTTTAGGCCGAGGCCGCACCAGGTAAAAGAGCAACAAATCCTGTACTCGAAGCAAAGATATGCTGCACGTCGATGAGCTGCTCCTGGTCTCCGTTTCTTCTGCTGTGAAATCAAAACACCTTCCTGCTGTCCAACAATTTGGGGACGATCTTGTTGGTTATCACGCAAACGAAGCAGAGAGAGAAAGAGGGAGTGCACAATTCCACTATACAATCCTAGCAGTCTAGAGCAACCAAGATCAATCATTTCCCCGGTAGCACACACACACACATACACTCACGAAGACATTCCTTTGTGCGACCAAGCCAGTCTTCATTTCAGTCTTGAACCAATGCCATTCGGCATCATAACATTCATAAATGCATCGCAGACATTCGTAGGTACATTGCGCTCATGTCATTT